CAAGAGGGGGCTGAGGCCCCCCTAGCAGTTGTGGTTGCCCCCCCTGGAAGATTTATACATTATAAATTTCAAATTAGTAATAAAATTTCAATATAATGCCGATTGCCGAAGCATATTAACTGGCCCCACCCGCCCCACCTTTATTTTCTTACAGGGTATATTATTTGGCAATATCAACCTATAAAAAAATGAACATGTCACATTTTATTCCATAGCCTACTATGTACTTGAGAAAAGTCAAAAATATTATATGGATTTTCTAAAAATTGAGCTTTTATTGAAATGGACAAAAAATCGACAAAAAATTCTGAGATGTAGATCTCGATGAGGTTAATCAAAAAACATAAGGTCTTGATGGTCCCAGATCAAGATTTTTCAAAAATTCGGTTCCAAAGTCGACATTTCAAAATTTCTCAAAAATTACATTTCTTTTGGCGGCTCTGGAAAAATTGTACGAATTTTCGAAAAAATAAAACCAAAAAAAAAACATTTGGAGATCGAAATCAATAAAAAGATCCCTTCTGCTAGTTTTCGAAAATGCGTGGGAAAAGTCAAATTTTTTTTATAGATTTTCAAAAATTGAGCTTTTGTTGAAATTGGCTAAAAATCTACAAAAAATTCTGAGATGTAGATCTCGACGAGTTTAGTCAAAAAACATAAGGTCTTGCTGCTATTCGGTTTCCAAGTCGACTTTTTAAAATTTCTCAAAAATTATACTCCTATTTCTTTTGACGATTCTAGAAAAATTTTACAAATTTTCGATCAAATAAAACCAAAAACAACATCTGAAGATTGAAATAAATAAAAGAATGACTTTTGGTAATTTTTGGAAATGCTTAAGAAAAGTCAAAATTTATTTAGTTTTCAAAAATTGAGCTTTTGTTAGAGTTGACAAAAAATTCTGAAATATAGATCTCGATGAGCTTAATCGAAAAACATGTTCATGCTCCCGGAGCAAAATTTACGAAATATTGGGTTTCTACTTAAAATTTCTAAAAAAATCTCAAAAGTGACTTAAAAAAAAGTTATTTCTTTATGCGATTGTGGAAAAATTCGACGAAATATCAAAAAAATAAAACCAAAAATAACATCTGTAGATCGAAATCAATAAAGAGATCCCTTTTGCTAATTTTCGAAGATGCTTGCGAAAAGTCAAAAAATGTATATGGATTTTCAAAAATTGAGCTTTTGTTGAAATTAACAAAAAATCAACAAAAAATTCCGAGATGTAGATCTCGATGAGCTTAATCCAAAGACATAAGGTCTTGATGGTCCCAGACCAAGATTTTCGAAAAATTCGGTTTCAAAGTCGACATTTCAAAATTTCTCAAAAATTACATTTCTTTTGGCGGCTTTGGAAAAATTGTACAAATTTTCGAGAAAATAAAACCAAAAACAACATTTGGAGATCGAAATCGATAAAGAGATCCCTTTTGCTAATTTTCGAAAACGGTTGGGAAAAGTCAAAAACATTTTATGGATTTTCAAAAATTTAGCTTTTGTTGAAGTTGACTAAAAATCCACAAAAAAATCTGAAATGTTGATCTCGACGAGCTCAATCAAAAAACACAAGGTCTAGATGGTCCCAGATCAAGATTTTCGAAACATTCGGTTTCAAAGTTCAAAAATTACATTTCGTTTGGCGATTGCTGAAAAATTTTACGACTTTTCAACCAAATAAAACCAAAAACAACATCTGGAGATCGAAATCAATAAAGGAATCCCTTTCGATAATTTTTGAAAATGCCTGGGAAAAGTCAAAAAATTTATATGGGTTTTCAAAAATTGAACTTTCGTAAAAGTTGACAAAAAATTCTGAAATATAGATTTGGACGAGCTTAAAAAAACATGACAGGTTCATGGTTCCGGATCAAAATTTTCGAAATACTCGGTTTCGAGCTCGAATTTTCAAAATTTCTCAAAAATTACCATATTTCTTTTGGCGATTGTGGAAAAATTGTACGAATTTTCGAAAAAATAACCAAAAACAACATCTGGAGATCGAAATCAATAAAGGAATCCCTTTTGGTAATCTCGAACGTGCTTGAAAAAAAGTCAAAAATTTGACACAGGTTCTCAAAAATTGCCATATTTCTCCCGTCGATTCTGGAAAAAAATGTAAGAATTTTCAAAAAAATTGAATCCAAAACGATTTCTGGAAATCGACATGAACAAAGGAATCTCTTTTGATAATTTTTGAAAATGCTTGGGAAAAGTCAAAAATTTTATAGGGTTTTCAAAAATTGAACTTTCGTAAAAGTTGACAAAAAATTCTGAAATATAGATTTGGACGAGCTTAAAAAAACATGACAGGTTCATGGTTCCGTATCAAAATTTTCGAAATACTCGGTTTCGAGCTCGAATTTTCAAAATTTCTCAAAAATTACCATATTTCTTTTGGCGATTGTGGAAAAATTGTACGAATTTTCGAAAAAATAACCAAAAACAACATCTGGAGATCGAAATCAATAAAGGAATCCCTTTTGGTAATCTCGAACGTGCTTGAAAAAAAGTCAAAAATTTGACACAGGTTCTCAAAAATTGCCATATTTCTCCCGTCGATTCTGGAAAAAATGTAAGAATTTTCAAAAAAATTGAATCCAAAACGATTTCTGGAAATCGACATGAACAAAGGAATCTCTTTTGATAATTTTTGAAAATGCTTGGGAAAAGTCAAAAATTTTATATGGGTTTTCAAAAATTGAACTTTCGTAAAAGTTGACAAAAAATTCTGAAATATAGATTTGGACGAGCTTAAAAAAACATGACAGGTTCATGGTTCCGGATCAAAATTTTCGAAATACTCGGTTTCGAGCTGGAATTTTCAAAATTTCTCAAAAATTACCATATTTCTTTTGGCGATTATGGAAAAATTGTACGAATTTTCAAAAAAACAACCAAAAGCAACATCTGGAGATCGAAATCAATAAAGGAATCCCTTTTAGTAATCTCGAACGTGCTTGAAAAAAAGTCAAAAATTTGATACAGGTTCTCAAAAATTGCCATATTTCTCCCGTCGATTCTGGAAAAAATGTAAGAATTTTCAAAAAAATTGAATCCAAAACGATTTCTGGAAATCGACATGAACAAAGGAATCTCTTTTGATAATTTTTGAAAATGCTTGGGAAAAGTCAAAAATTTTATATGGGTTTTCAAAAATTGAACTTTCGTAAAAGTTGACAAAAAATTCTGAAATATAGATTTGGACGAGCTTAAAAAAACATGACAGGTTCATGGTTCCGGATCAAAATTTTCGAAATACTCGGTTTCGAGCTGGAATTCTCAAAATTTCTCAAAAATTACCATATTTCTTTTGGCGATTATGGAAAAATTGTACGAATTTTCGAAAAAACAACCAAAAGCAACATCTGGAGATCGAAATCAATAAAGGAATCCCTTTTAGTAATTTCGAACGTGCTTGAAAAAAGTCAAAAATTTGATACAGGTTCTCAAAAATTGCCATATTTCTCCCGTCGATTCTGGAAAAAATGTAAGAATTTTCAAAAAAATTGAATCCAAAACGATTTTTGGAAGAAATCGAGATGAACAAAGGAATTCTTTTGGTAATTTTCGAAAATGCTTGGGAAAAGTCAAAAATTTTATATGGGTTTCCAAAAATTGAGCTTTTGTTAAAGTTGACAAAAAATTCTGAAATACACATCTCGACGAGTTTAAAAAAACATGACGAGTTCATGGTTCCGTAACAAAAGTTTCGAAATATTTGGTTTCGAAGTCGGATTTTTAAAATATGTACTAAACATGCAAAAAAATAAACTCAAACAAATTGGATGTTACCTATATGGCCACTACACAAATTTTTGGATGCAGTACAGCTGTTTGTGAATCTACATTCTCTGTTTTAACCAGCATTTTAACCAAGTACCGTACTAATTTTTTGGACTTCGACAGGTTTTTACGAAAATTTAACGTAAAGAATCGACGTTTCCGATTATTTTAATGTTCTTTCAAATATAAAAACTCAGAAAAAATAAAGTAGTTATCTGAGTGTATTATTAAAATATAAATATTTACATGAAGCCCCCTCTGTCGACAAACTTGCCCCCCCCGAATAAGTTTTCTAGCTACAGGGCTGAACCACAGTAGCGACAAATAAATCCGTTTAGCGTGAACACAATAATTTTGAAGTTAAAAGTAGTTACACAAGTCGACTATGCTGCAAAAACATTTTTCCAACTAGGTTTTATTTCAATTCCTCGAGCTACCTCAGCGACAAACATCCTTTTTATAAAACAACAATGAACGAGTAAAATGGGATCACCTCCAGTTCTCTCTGTTATTCGCCGTTCTCCAATAACATGCCAACTTCATTATTTACAATCCATTTTTGTCTCTTTTGATCGTTTTCGTATCCACAAACGTAGTCACGTGGAACTTTCCAGACACTCTATAAAACGGGAATATTTAGCCGCGTTTTGTTTGGATTTATTATCTTCGGGAATTATTCAATGGACTTTATGCGAAGGCATTTTGTCCTAATATTGACATTTTCGGCGGTCGTGGTGCGGAATGATTAATTTTAACGTGCCGGGGTATTAACCCTTCATGAACTAATAAATTATCCGCGTCGACAACGAATTCTCGATGAAAGGATTATTCTCGTGCGATGAAACCGAAAGTTTCAAAGAAGGATCAAGCGTGTGTAAGATATCAATACTGAACTAGGAGCCCCACCATGTTAAATACATTTGATCGGTCGATGCATACGAGGGCAGAATATGCTGCACACGCATAACTAATTAAACCAAATGAACGCCAGCGGGTTGTGTTTGTATTTTTCAAGCGTTGTGTTTACACAATTTAAAATTAATGTTTCTGCAAAGCGGATTAAAGGTAATGGCGTGCTCAGTGAGGTTCGACTGGAATTATTTCAACTCTACCCGGATTAATACAGAACAAGATTTTCTGCGTTCGTTGGGTTAAATCGCAGAAAGCAAAAGTCATCGTCATGACGTTTTTTTCAATGTATTTTTCTCTTTCAGTCACGTCACTCGCACGGCAGGGTGGCTGCCCCCAGCAGAAGCCTGGCGCTACGGCGAGGATTGCCTTCCGTACGGTTGGGAGAGAGCCGTTGATAACTCGGGTAGAACTTATTACATCAAGTAAGTAAATAAGCCCTCTTCTCTGTAACCAGGTATATTACGTTGACTTTGTCGGGTGGAGGTAATGTGTTTTGCTGGCGACAACACCCTTGTTTTGCTCCTAGTTTTAACACTCGAACCAACCTTTGAGTGGCTGCCAAGACGGAAGGGTGCAAAGATATAAACGCAGAGGGTTGTGCATGAGACGATAATATCCTTGGTTTTAGGCGGGATGATTTTAGTGGGGCATATGAGAAGCCGCTTTCTGTGAGCGGAGCGTTACCTTAATATTTATTTGTTACCTTCTGAGTTAAATTTGCCGGAATATTGCGGAGTAAGGGTTTTCGGGGTGTTTTTTTTTTATTAAAATAATTTGCGGGATAACTGGAATGTGTTGGCAAAAGGGGGCAATTTTGGAACGACATCTAATGGCTTTTTAAGTAAAGACGTCATGCCCAAAAAAAATTGGTCGTAAGTTATTTCGACAGAACTTCCCCGGCTTCTGAAGAAGACATTTAGGGCCCCTGAGAAGGTTTTACATTTTAAAAAAAGACAGTTGGCACCCCTGAGAGGGTTTCACATTCTTAAAAAAATACATTTGGGGCCCCCGAGAAGGTTTTACATTTTTAAAAGACAGTTGGCACTCCCGAGAAGGTTTCACGTTAAAAAAAGACATTTGGAACACCAATGGAGGTTTAACATTAAAAAACCGACATTTAGGCCCCCTGAGAAGGTTTTACATTTTTAAAGAAAAACAGTTGGGACCCCCGAGAAGGTTTTACATTTTTAAAAAAGACAATTGGGACCCCCGAGAAGCTTAAAAAAACACATTTGGGTCCCCCGGGAAGGTTTTACATTTTTTAAAAAGACACTTGAGACCTCCGAGAAGGCTTCACATTCTTAAACACAAGAGAGTTGAGACCCCCGAGAAGGTTTCACATTCTTTAAAATAAAAAGGACGAAAAGGACGAAAAAAGATGAAAAGAACGAAAAAGTGCAAAAAGGACGAAGAGGACGAAAAAGGTCGGAAAGGACGAAACGGACGAAAAAGGAAGAAGAAGGACGAAAAGGACGAAAAAGGATAATAAGGACGGAAAAAATTGAGAGGACGAAAAAGTGCAAAAAGGGCGAAAAGGACGGAAAAGGATGAAAAGGACGAAAAAGCGGGAAACGGACGAAAAAAACGAAAATGTGCGAAAAGGACGAAAAAGGACGAAAAGGACGAAAACAGACGAAAAAGGACGAAAAGGACGAAAAAGGACGAAAAGGGATAATAAGGGCGAAAAAGTGCGAAACGGACGAAAAGGGCGAAAAGGACGAAAGAGTGCGAAAAGGACGAAAAAAGACAAAAACGGACGAAAAAGCGCGAAACGGACGAAAAGGACGAAAATGTGCGAAAAGGATGAAAAAGGACGAAAAGGTCCTTAGTATCTGACCTGACATCAGGTTAGACACTAATGTCAGGTCAGATTAATATCAGTTTTTGCTGTATCTGTACCTTTTGTACCAATCTTTTTAATTTATTTATTTAAAATTGGTTCAATAAAAATTATTATTATTATTATTATTATTAAAAGGTCGAAAAGGACGAAACGGACGAAGAAGGACGAAAAGGAGAAAGGACGAAAAGGAGAAAGGACGAAAAAGGACAGAAAGGACGAAAAGGACGATAAAGGATAATAAAGACGAAAAAGGACGAAAATGTGCGAAAAGAACGAAAAAGGACGAAAAGATCGAAAAGCACGAAAAAAGACGAAAAGGACGAAAAGGAATACAAAGGACGAAAAAGTGCGAAACGGACGAAAAGGACGAAACAAAAAGGACGAAAAAGTGCGAAAAGGATAATGACAAGAATGAGGAAAACGACGAAAAAGTGCGAAAAGGACGAAAAAGGACGAAAAGGACGAAAAAGTGCGAAGAGGACGAAAAAGGATACTAAGGATGAAAAAGGACGAAAAAGTACGAAATGGACGAAAAAGGACGAAAAGAGCGAACAAAGCCGAGACATTAAAATATAGAAAAATTGAGCAATGAAGAAATGGGAAAATCAAAATATCCAAAAATCGAAAAATCTAATAGTCAAAAGGTCGAGAAGTCGGGAAAGCCAGAAATGGAAAAGTCGAAAAATCCCAAAATCGAAAAATGGAAGATTCGAAAATTTAAAAATCCTAAAACACGAAAATAGAAAAACTAAAGAATAGAAAACTGAAAAATCGTAAAACTGGAGGACGAAAAAGGTCGGAAAGGACGACACGGACGAAAAAGGACGAAAAAGGAAGGACGAAAAGGACGAAAAAGGATAATAAGGACGGAAAAGATGGAAAGGACGAAAAAGTGCAAAAAGGACGAAAAGGACGAAAAAGCGGGAAACGGACGAAAAAGACGAAAATGTACGAAAAGGACGAAAAAAGACGAAAAAAGACGAAAAGGGATAATAAGGGCGAAAAAGTGCGAAACGGACGAAAAGGGCGAAAAGGACGAAAGAGTGCGAAAAGGACAAAAAAAAGACAAAAATAGACGAAAAAGCGCGAAACGGACGAAAAGGACGAAGAAGGATAATAAGAACGGAAAGGACGAAAAGGACGAAAATGGGCAAAAAGGATGAAAAAGGACGAAAAGGACCTTAGTATCTGACCTGACATTAGGTTAGATACTAATGTCAGGTCAGATTAATATCAGTTTTTGCTGTATCTGTACCTTTTGTACCAATGTTTTTAACTTATTTATTTAAAATTGGTTCAGTAAAAATTATTATTATTATTATTATTAAAAGGTCGAAAAGGACGAAACGGACGAAAAAGGACGAAAAGGAGAACGGACGAAAAAGGACAGAAAGAACGAAAAGGACGATAAAGGATAATAAAGACGAAAAAGGACGAAACAGTGCGAAAAGGACGAAAAAGTGCCAAAAGGACGAAAAAAGACGAAAAAGGACGAAAAGGACGAAAAACGCGAAACGGACGAAAAGGACGAAAATATGCGAAAAGAACGAAAAAGGAAAAAATCGAAAAGGACGAAAAAGGATGAAAGAGAATACAAAGGACGAAAAAATGCGAAACGGACGAAAAGGACGAACAAGGACGAAAAAGTGCGAAAAGGACGAAAAAGGACGAAAAGGACGAAAAAGTGCGAAAATGACAAAAAAGGACGAAAAGGACGAAAAAGAAAAAAAAGGACAATAAGGACGAAAAAGGATAATAAGGACGAAAAAGGACAAAAAGAAAGAAAAAGTGCGAAATTGACGAAAAGAACGAAAAATGATAATAAGGACGAAAATGGACGATAAAGGACGAAAAAAGATAATAAGGACGAAAAAGGATAATAAGGATGAAAGAGGACGAAAAAAGACGACAAGGACGAAAAAGGACAAAAAAGTGCGTAAAGGACGAAAAAGGATAATAAGGACGAAAAGGAAAAAAAATGATAATAAGGACGAAAAAGGACGAAAGTAAGAAAAAGGACGAAAAGAACGAAAAATAAAAAGGATAATAAGGATGAAAAAGGATGAAAAGGATGAAAAAGGACGAAAAGGACGGAAAAGGACGCAAAGGGCGTAAAAGTACTAAATGGACGAAAAGAACGAAAAATGATAATAAGGACGAAAAAGGACAAAAAGGACGAAAACGGATAATAAGGAAGAAAATGGACGATATAGGACGAAAAAGTGCGAAAAGGACGAAAAAGGATAATAAGGACGAAAAGGACGAAAAAGGATGAAAAGGACGAAAACGACGAAAAAGGACGAAACAGGACGTAAAAGGACTAAAAGAACGAAAAAGGACGAAAAAGATAATAAGGACTACAAAGAACGAAAATGGACGACAAAGGACGAAAAGGACGAATAAGGAAGAACCAGGACGAAAAGAACGAAAAAAGATAATAAGGAAGAAAAAGAATGAAGAATGAAAACAGACGAGAAGGATGAAAACGGACGAAAAGGACGAAGAAGGACGAAAAGGACAAAAAAGTGCGAAAAATGATAATAAGGACGAAAAAGGACGAAAATTGACGAAAACGACGAAAGAGTGCGAGAAGGACGGAAAAGGGCGAAAAATGACGAAAAGGATAAAAAATGATATTAAGGATGAAAACGGACGAAAAGGAAAAAAATTATAATAAGGACGAAAAAGGACGAAAAGAAAAAAAAATATAATGAGGACGAAAAAGACGAAAAAGAACGGAAAAGGACGAATAGTTCGAAAAAGGACGAAAAGGACGAGAAAGTGCGAAAAGGACGAAAAAGGACGAGAAGGACGAAAAAGAAGAAAAAGGAAAATGAGGACGAAAAACGACGAAAAGGACGAAAAAGTGTGAAACGGACGAAAAGGACGAAAAAGGACAATAAGTACGAAACAGTGCGAAAAGGACGAAAAAGACGAAAAATGATTTTGATGTTCCGATTTCTCGACGTTTCAATTTCTCGAAGTATCAGTTTCTCGATTTCGAGTTAATTTGATTTTTCGACTTTTCGGCCTTTCAATATTCCAAATTTTCAATTTTTGAAATTTCAAATTTTCAATTTTTCTATTTATCGAGTTTTCGGTCTTTCGATATTCGATTTTTTTAATGAAAGGACGAAAAGGAAAAAAAATGATAATAAGGACGAAAAAGGACGAAAAGGAAGAAAAAAGGACGACAAGGACGAAAAAGGATAATAAGGATGTAGAAGGACGAAAAGGACGAAAAAGGACGAAAACGGACGCAAAGGACGAAAAAGAGTATAAAGGATGAAAAAGTACGAAACAGACGAAAGGGACGAAAAAGGACAATAAAGACGAAACAGTTCGAAAAGGACGAAAAAGGACGAAAAATGATTTTGATGTTCCTATTTCTCGACGTTTCAATTTCTCGAAGTTTCATTTTCTCGATTTCGCGTTATTTTGATTTTTCGACTTTTCGGCCTTTCAATATTCCAAATTTTCAATTTTCGATTTTTCCATTTATCGAGTTTTCGGTCTTTCGATATTCGATTTTTTTTAATTAAAGGACGAAAAGGAAGAAAAAGGACGAAAAGAATGAAA